TGTCTTCATCATAATCAATTTTGTAACATTGTATGGTGGTCTCTTTAGGTTGTTTTATTATTTTTGAATTCAACATTTCTAAACACTGCTTCCTTTTGGTTTCAAAGTCCCCTACTGGTCTACCTATGCTTTTCTTTTCAGATGCTTCTCCATTTTCCTTAAATCATTTTTTCTCATTAGTCTTTTCATCAATGGTTTTTAACAACTGTAAGATCAATTTAAGACTATTATTATATCTGTTCATTTTCTTTATCAGCTCATCCATTTTATCAGTATTATCTAAAGTAATAGATCCACCATCATCGTTTGAAACTTTCATAGTCTTATCTTATCACTCTTGCTGATTTTAAAGCTATATGGATTACACTTACACTTTTTGCCTTTAGTGTTGATTTCAATTTCATTCTCAGTTGTAGTTTTCCCTGGCATAAAGGACAGTCAAAGGTAATGAATTTGCTTGTTAGTTTTTGTTCTTCATCTAGTTTTATTGTTGTTGGTTCTTCATCTGCTAGTTCAAACTCTTCGGGGATTTGTGTTTTATTCATCTTTGTTGTTTTTTTTGTCTTTTTTGGTGGCATGTATAATATTACATTTTAGATAAGTAATTATCAATTTTGACATTTCCAGTGAGTATTTACAACACTGCTTAAGCTGCTTAAGTTTATTATCTTTAACAACTGGATATTTAGCACTATCATTTTTTTCCATATCATCTCTTCCTGTTATATAAGCATCATGTTCAGATAGCGTCATAATATATAACTATAATTAGATAATGCTTTAACACCATCTAATTATGTAGTGCTTGGGAGAACACTAAAAACGAATTCAACTGTAAGGGCAAAAAATCCATTGCTGAAAAGCAAACTAATTACCGACTTATGCGGATTAGCGTAGCCTCACCTACCGCACTCTGTCCATAGGAGATCTGCTAATATTTAATAATGTTTTCTATGTATTTTTATTAATAGATGAATAATAACACCGCACCACATATTCAACCTATCAAAGAAATCAATTATGAATTCACTCAATCAAAATATGCTGTTGCCTCTAAAGTGCCCTTTAGATCAATCATAACCGGTCCGTCTGGTAGTAGCAAATCAGTGCTACTAACAAACATGAATATGGACACCTACAAGGAAGTTTTTCAAGGGTGTATATCTGGTCACCTTCAATAAATGTTGATAGCATCTGGTTGCCAGTCAAGAAATACATAAAGGAAGAAATGAAAGTGAACACTGGTAAAGAGCAGGTTTTGTTTGAAGACTTTCACAGTGAAGATTTAATGAACGTCATTGAAACACAACATAGAATAACTGAATACAGTAAAAAAACATAAATAAAAAAACAATCCTAATAGTCTTGGATGATATAGCAGATGATCCCAAAATAGCAAGATATTCAAACATATTTGATTCCCTTTATGTAAGAGGTAGACACAATGGTATTAGTGTTATAACATCTGTTCACAAATTTAATGCACTGACCACACTGATAAGAGTTAATGCCACACACCTATTCTTCTACAAGGTCAGCAACTTTAAAGAAATAGAACTGTTTCAAAAAGAACTATCAGCAATACCTAGAAGAAAAGAAACAATATCCAAGAAAGTAAGCAGGTCTTATATAAACTTTATGAAATAGCCACTGAACAGCCACATATGTTTTTAGATATTAATCTTCTGGAAAAGGATAGGAACAAGATGTTTATGATCAATTTTTCACACTATTTGCAAATTGATGATTGATAATGTTAATATGATCAATCTTTATACCAATGAAGGAGCACAAATATTATAGCAGGTAGTTTATACATAATCCTATTCGATTTCAGGATGTGAGCAGCTGGGAAGGTTCGTCAAGGGTACACATTCTATCACGAGCGAAATGAACCCCAAAGGTCCCTACCACATATATATATACTGTGTATCACTGTATACGCAACAGAGATAAGAGAAATGCGAGATCAGAAAGATGAATGAGAGACATAATGAGAGATGAAAATCAGAACATGAATGAGAGGAAGATGTTCACACTCTTCGGTGTCACAATCCATTTGGAGATGCGATCGGTCTCCGTCTCGTTTGGCGGGTGACGACGGTGCTTCGCCGGTGATGAGAAAAAACTGAACATCTGTGCAACCGAACTGCTACGATTTGTGGGGAGTGCATGATGGATAGGGTGCAAAGGGGACAGGCAAGAGAAACCAGACATCAAACCTTTGGAAAAGGCATGAAAACGTCTTCCTGCATACAGTTCACATGCTGCAATATGACTGTTTCCTGGCTCTGGGACAGAATCAATAGCAAGAACACACGCAGCAGCCTGCATGACAAACCACTCCGCCTGCACCTATCGCCATGCCCGCTTCCCGTCGGCGGGGCGCCGGCAACACCTTGCTCTTCGGCCACAAAGCGCCTCGCGGCGGTGGGGCAGACAGCGAACCACCGAAGGATCCAGTTGTTGTTCTGCCTCCAGATTCTGCCGCCCAACATGGGGTGTGCCTGCAAAATCGGGTGCCTGAGGCGGGTGACGGTCCGGAACAGGTGCACAGCCCGGGACCGAAGCACCACACCAATGACTCTTGGGATTCAACCTGGTTTCGGGTTCAAACCTCGCGAGTGTCGATGCAGAAGGTGGACCAAGTCATCTTCCTGGGTGACCTTCCAATTCAACCAGCACCTTGTCAAGTCTTGGTTTGGAACCACATGCCCACCAATCCTCCACGCGTTTCCCAAAAGGGTGGCTGGTGCGCGCTCCATGACCCTGCTGAGAAGTGTGGACACAAACAACTTTTGTATAGCCGATGGACCCTGATGACCCCTGCCTCCATCTGGCTCCGATCTGCTCCCATCGCGCCGCACTTTGGACGGCGTGATGCGCACCGCCGGGCGGACCGGAGGCCGCGGCAGCCCTGGCGGCGCTGCCGGTGGAGGCACCGCCAGCGGGCATGGCCAGGAACTAGTGTTGTTTCAAGGAAGAATATGAGCAGGGAAACCACCTGGGAAGGGAGAAATGGACCGGGTCTTCAATTGACGGCCCTCAATGAGTCTGTGAACCCGCGAAGAGATCCACGCCCTGCTATCCCCACCCATTGAGGCCTCCCAAATACCTCTCGCACGCCAACGTGTTTCCGGAGTCTGCACCACACCGAATAAGTGGCGCCACATTTGAGTGTCTGAAACACTTCAGAAGGGTGAGGATCTGGGACCCATCTGGTTCAACATGATTCAACAAACATGCTTCGGTACAACAGGTGATGGTTCGTAGAACCTGAGGGCCGTTAGATTCATCTTGCACTGACTACAAAGCAAAAATAAACAAAAAAGAAATCTAACTAATCCAGTCAGACCTTCAGTTTGCATGTTGTCACACAGGTCTGTGGTCCAGAGCGCATGAGCGCATGTGCAGTTCATCAGCATGGCCAATGCAAATCTTCATCCCCGCCGCTAAGCCGTAAGGTTCGAGTTTTCATGTGCATCCCACCTTGACTATATATAGACCACACTTCGAGTCAAACTCAGCATCTTAATACAAGGCATACCACAGTCTATATATACATCTATATAATGCTTGCGTGATGAAAAAAGGTAATAACGTCACGCCACGATCACTTCCAACCGTCCAACCATGAAGCGTTCATTGCGCCTCGCGACTGTCCAATCACTGGCGCCGTTCCTGGAGACCAGCACGTGCGCGGGTTGACCCGATCAACCCGCTTGGGGGTTCCCCAAAGGCAAGGCTTGGAGAAAAGGGATAGAACAAAGACAGAAGAACAAAAAATTGTCGAGGAAAAAAAGAAAAACAAGAATGCTGAGAACAGTAAACTATAAAAAACAACAATATGTAGAAAATGGTGGCAGAAGAAATACAGAAACTATGGGGGTTCCAGACAGCTCCAGGGTGGTGTTGTTGCTCTCACCACCGGTTCGACGGTTCGCCTGCATCACCCGCAGGCATCGCCCAGCCATCGCCCGCTGCTTCTCCTGGCGAGTGGGGCGATGAGGACTCAAAACTGGGAATCACAAACTGTGTGGAACAACCGTCTTCTCTCCTTTCGCAAGAAAGGTACGGCGCTTCTTTCGGTGAAAGGCTTCTGCAGCAATATTCGAATCACAGGAGGGAGACACACGCACCAGCTTTGCTGACGAAACCATTTGTTGGATTGGCACAATCAAAGATCTGGCTCAGTGGTGCACGGACCTTTTTGCTGCCTTTTTCTAGGTCGATGGTCGTCACAGACTTGCAAAGCACTTCTGCGTTTGTCTGGTCCCAAGCGTCTTGCTGTTCTTCCTTGCGTGACTTGGTCCCCAAACCAACCCAGAAGTTCATTAATTGCCCCGGTTGCGGCCGTGGCGACGGTGTCCTGCACATCTGAAGATGTGACTACCTTCAGAGTAGATCAACATGCAAACCTCAACTCAACACGTTGTCTGCTTTATATATATATATATATCCCACTACCAGGGCCCAGTGGATGATGATATGGGAGGAGTTGAATACCGAATGGTTTATTGACACAAACCCAAAATAGAACCGTAAGAATAGCGATGACTTGACAAACACAAGCCTTTGTCGATCTTCAGGACATTCAATATATGTAAATAACGTAAACGTATGACGTATTAGTTCTTCGTAGCTACGCACACATGGCCAATCTGCACCGCTTAGCCGTGGTGCAGCATGACCGATGCAGCAAAGAAGGTATCACCAAATGGCTTTCACCTTAGAGTGGACAATCACAAGTCAACGAATTCACAAACCTCTTCACGACACCCGTGGTGAATGGATTCATTACATCCTTCCCAGTAGGTCAGTTTGCAGACATGGCACCCATCGAATTATCTTGTTGATTGTGTCCGAGTACTTGAACTGCTCCATCCAGCTTTGCCAGCTGCGATCTGTTAGTGTCAAGAAGATACAGTCCAGATATCCAACACCAGCCTCGGCTTTGATTATATAAGCATAAATGAGCACGCTGTTGTGATCGATGACAATGTTAAAACAAAAAGATTAAAAAAAAATTATGCCAGCAATGGCCCCAGATAGCAAAAGGTCTTTAAGGGCAACACCCAAACGATTTTGCTTAGGCACTTTGTGTATCTTTGTGTTTCGGCATGCAAACGTGGTCAGCACGCAGGCTCCAAAGCCTTCAAAAGCGGGCAACGGCGCCCTGCAGCTGCACCCTGCAATGCCACCAGCACCCAAGCTCCAAAGCGAAGACGGCCACACACACCTAGCAGTTACATCTTGGAGTGGCACCCTGCAGCAGCACCAGCACCCAGGCCCCAAAACGCGCACACGCATGTCATCCTGTACTTGAAGTAAGAACACCAAAAGTTCTCGCTATCTGGGGAAATTTACGCGCAAACAATACAATATGATGTTGCGCGGCAAAATCATGCGTACAATGACACGCGCAAGTAGCACAGCTCCTAGGCTTCACAAGCATCACCCACAAGCGTTCAAACATAGCAAGATCAACGCAGAGCCAGATGACTCAAAACACAACACGGCACTACTCGGGAGGTTCCCAAGTTCTCAAGCAGCCTTTTGATCACACTTGCGCTTCAACGGGAACGGCTATAATATCAGTATAATACAATTGAAGGTGCTGCTCCAGCATACGTACTGCCCAATCAAAACACCATGATGCTGCGGGTATAAGTAATTAGATGCGTACAAAAATATGCGTTCAAACTGTACAAAGTGATGTTGCACGTATCAAAAGTATAAAATATGCACACTAACAACTACAGTTTTCAGGCGTCACGGGCACCATGCGCAAGCGTTCCAACATAGCTAAAGAGCAAACAAGAAGCGTGCTACTCGACAACAACCACACTCAAATTTGACAGAACACTGCTGGGCTACTGCACCCGGGTCGACACCATATAAATATATATATATATAATATATATGTTTAGTTTGTTTGTGATATATATATATAATATTATGCATATTTTTTATATCAAGCATGTATACTGTATGCATACAATTTTGCGCGCGCAAACAGTACAGCTCCTAGGCTCCACAAACATGGCGCCCAAGCGTTTAAACATAGCATGAACAAAGCAGAGTCAGACCGTTCGAAACACAACACGGCACAACTCTGGAGCTTCCCGCGCTCAAGCAGCAAAGCACCGACACGCTGTCTCCAAAGCGCGTACAGCCTAGCTCACAGCAACGGCACCAGCACCGACACCCCGTCTTCAAAGCATGCGCAACCAGCTGACACCAGCACCAGACAGCGCGCACAGTCATCTGACAGCACCCCCATTGCCCATCTCAAAAGTGCGCACAGCCAGCTCACAGCACGGGCACCAGCACCTGCTCACAGCCTGTCTCGACAGCCAGCTGACACCAGCACCGGCAACAGCACCAGCACTCAGCACCGACACCCTGTTTTCAAAGTGCGCACAGCCAGCCGCAGCACGGGCACCGGCAAAAAGCACCAACACCCTTTCTTGAAAGCGCACGCAGCCAGCTCATTCTTATTTAAAAGAGTTTTAAAGTAGGAACCCCGTGGCTATCGCTATCTGGGGAACAACGATGGATATTGCTGTAAAATCAAGACCAAGAGCCTTGAATCGTGACAGAACCACAACCATGAAGTCTACCATGAACTTGCCAACAACGGCATAGACAATGACGTAGCACCACCCATCTCGAGTGATACCGGTAGCACGCAGTATCTCCAGCCCTTTTTCGTAGCTTCTTCTTAGCTTTTCAGTGGCCTAGGCCATATTGCACTATCAAAGCAGGCTTGGAACAACATCACCACGGTCCGCAGACTTGGAGCTGTCCATTTCGTCGGTCGCTGGCCAGGCTGGAGTTTTGAAAAACCGTTTCGGTGGCAAGTCGTTCGGAGGATGAGCTTCTCCATGACGGCACAGTGCACATAGAGCTTGCAGTCGCATCAAGCAGCCTTCCGCAAAGCCAAACCGACACATAGAAGAAACAATTAAATGAAGAGTCTGTAAAATTGGAGGAAAAGGAACAGGCGCCATCAAACTGGAGAGCTCGCCAAATCCTCTATGAGTTGAAGAAGCCTGTGAAAGCCTGGATGTCCCAAAGATTGATTTCAAGTCTCTATATGAAGCGGCTGAACACGCAGAAAAAGCGCCTAGAAGTGAGCCGTAAGCCACAAGCGCCTAGCTATCATATTACACAAGCCCCAAGCCCCTTAAGGATGATTAGCGTTATTACACAAGCCAGAGGCGTTGTTCCGCCGCCTCAGCCGGTCTCCGAGCCACGCAGCCAGGCGACCGTCGAGGCGGACATGCGCCGTGCCTGGGAGAAGTGCAGGTGGCAAAATAGTTAGATGGGAACTAGCTTCTGAGCCACCATGGTTGGATGTCTTCTGAGCCACAAAGTACCTATCGCCATGATACACTGGGATGTCATTGGATACACTCCGCCTCACTAACATGGAAGTGGAGTTCACAGGAAAGCAGTCTTCCAAGGGACCATTTGTCCACTTCCGTTAGTGTATATACTATATACTGTATCAGGTTTCAATCGAGGCCAGGACCATCTCCGGAGATGATGATTTGAGACGGAAAGCCCAAGAGGCTCAATAGACTCTTCTGACACAGCCACCACCGCTTGGAATTTAGGCCAATCGTTCCCAGAGCTATACACACAACCCTACGTTTGGTGGTGTCTTTTGGCACCCTCGGTGGAAAGCCTCCCCAGAACTAAACCACTCAACCGTACATCAGTGACAGGCCACCGGCACTCCAAACAGGAAGTCTTGGCACTCTCGACCACCTCAGCACGGCGCTCGAACGCGGATGGAATGATCCATCAAATCTGCGGATGAAACCGCAGCAACTGGAGAAGCCTTGCTAAGCCTTCCTACCCTGTCAAAAGGTTGCACATGGCTGCGGCACAGCGGCCATCGTTGACACTGCACCCTACACCTACAGCCACCATGAGGACGGAGAGCGAGCATAGGAACTAAAGGTTTTTTGACCCATCAGTTCATTTTGTGCTCTTCACCTTCTTCCTTTTGAACTTTTCTGGTCAATTGCAAATACCACCATACATCAAACACACCCAATGTAGCAAGCAACCACACACCACCATATACACATGCCCCTCACGTGCTCCTCAAGTGCCCCCTGATCTTTCGGTTAGAAAAACGGTGGAGTTCGATCCATTTGGTTTCGGGCTCTTCTTGGAGGGAACATCCAGGCTGTTCCAGCCACACCAAGTCGCTGGAGGGACTCCACAGCTTCACTCGCAGCTCCTCGCGGCCCTCCTCCTCCTCATCGGCGGTGGAAGCCGCTGCCGGGGCCATGGCGGCATGAACACCGGGGGTGCTGACCATGTGGCGCACCACGTACCTGGCGTGAAAAGATGTGAACGGTCCCGGCCCTCTTCACAACGTCCCGGAAGATCCGGATGAAAGGGGGCTATACTAGGAAGGCAGGGATGAAGCGGGCGACAATCGGCCCACTATGCCAGTGGAAATACACACGTCCCAGAGACGTCCCAGGGAGGAATTGAACCCGCAGGGCGGGGGCCCCGTACATATGAAGTTTTCACGCGATGCAGCGCTCTCGAGGATTCCAGCCCCTCACTTGCTAAAGCAAGAACAACTCCGGCTAGTTGGTGCTAGTTTTTGTGATGAGAGTTTAATAGGAAACAAAGTACAGTAATAAAAGGTGCGGATGAAATTGGATGAATTAGGAAGATCAATCGCAAAATCACACGTGACGTAGCATTGTACATCCATATCAGTATGCAGTATGCTGTTCATATGACGCAAACCACACTGGATCCGGAAGAATCAGCCAACACTCTCTACACATCCCTCGCTGCAGGGGATAAAAATGTGTGGTGCGTAAGTGATCCAACATGCGGTGGTGCGCAAGTGATCCCCCACCCTTCCTGGAGCGCCCCAAAGAGCAAGCGCTGGGCAAAATATGTTTGGACATACTTTACGTCGAGTGAGCCCCACCATGACATACCATTCATT